CTCGACTCGGGCCTGTAGTGGGTGCCTGTCCCCTACTCAATTTCCAGAACATTGGTTCGAACTCTTCTCCGACGAATAATTTTGTTTACTTTGGTAATGTTGATGCCTTAAGTTTTCATAATTGTTTGTTAGTTTTGTTTTCACTTCAATTGGTTGCTGTGGAAAAACAAAATAACACTATAGCTTTGTTTTGATACTATTACAGGTAAATTTTTGTTTTTTTGGGTAAGTTAGTGGGGGAGAAGGCCCTACTCAGTTTTTCATTAAATAAAATGGAGAAAGTACATATCATATTTTAACAACCTTACTGTAGGGCAATTGTGCCAGAATAAAGACAGCGAAACAAAATCCGGTGGTCTAGAACTGCAAACTGTAGCGTTAGAAGGAGATATTCCTCTATTGGGAAGTGTATATGCTACCACGTTAGTTTTGCGATAAAGGTATATTAGGCAATCTCTCTATCAATATTTTGATACAAGGCATAAATTTAAGGGAAATTATTACAAATATATTTTAATTTTCGTCTATTTAGAAAAAAAAAAATTTTCAAACTTTTATAAATCTTGTACACATTTTTTTTTTTATATATATATTTATCAATTTTGGGTGTTTTGTGATCAAAATAAACTTTACAATAGTCTTATGATGAAGTGTGATGAAGAACTATTACGGTACTTTAACTATTTTAATGAATACCTTATTAGAATACCATAATAAAGCCAAAGATTATTACGGTAATCGAATTAACGTAATAATAAAACCAAATTGGGTTTGGCCATTGTTTGTTTGATTGGTTTCCCACCGGACAAATGGTGGGCATTGAATCCTCATTTATCCCTCTCTGTTAAAACAAAGAACTAGGGTTTTTGAGTTCTCTTTATGCTCTTCGCCGCCCCGCTGGCTCCTTCCTCTCTAACCCTGTTGAAAAAAAGCATTTGGATTCTCTCTCTAAGCTTGCAAATTAAAGTTATAGTTTTGTTATCGGATGATGTGTGCAATGTGTTAACGAATAGTGAATAAGAAGCGGTGGGTTGCTGTTTTCATGAGCACAGGTCAGGTTCTGGTTCTTGTGGTGCAAGGGACTCGTATGATCTCTGTGTAGAGAGAGAAAGACAAAGGAGATAGAGATAAAGCTAAAGAGAGGGACAATCGATAGAGAAAGAGTCCCAGATAATCTCTGGCGACCATCGGCGCCCCTTCTCGTTATAGAAACCAATCAAACAAACAACGGCCAAAAGCCGAACCTTTGGTTTTATTATTAAGGTCGAGTATCGTAATAATTTTTGATTTTATTACGATATTCTAAGTACCGTATAAAATGGGTAAATGGTTCTTAACAGTAATTTGACTACAGTAAAGGTTATTTTGATCATAAAACGTACAAAATTTAAAAAAAAAGAGTGCGAGTGAAGTTTATAAAAGTTGGTTTATTATTACTATTTATTATTATTATTTTAAATAAACGAAAGTTAAAGTATATTTGTGATAATTTTCTTAAATTTAAACAATTGAATGAAAGCGCGCTTTTTAACCTTGCCCAAAGATCCAATTTTGGTGCTAGAAGCTTGGTATTCTGGAAAACTATTTACAAACATAATTATGAAATTGAAAGTTTCAAATTAGTGGACAAGAAGTATATCTAAAAGTTGGGGTGCCATTGGGCTAGGCCAGCCCGAAGTCCGGTAAAGCCTAAAATTATTTCGTACCAGCCTGATAAGCCCCGGCCCAAACATGCAACGTTAAAGCCCAATTGGGCTCGGCAAGAAAGGAATTATTTGGTTGAGCTCAGCCTGGGCCCATTAAGAACCATTTGTTTATTTATTTATATTTTTTTATCTCACTCTTTATAATTTTCTTGTTTGTAGTAAGCTCAAAAAAAAAAAAAGCATTTGCTTAACATATTTTTTTAAAAATTTTATATTTCAATGTAATTTATAGTATCTATACCAAAAAATATATGGTACCCATAGCTCAGGCTAGACCACATACAACTCTACTTGCCCCCCTCTCTCTTGCCCAAACTCTCTCTCTGGGGTTGGTTTCTAGAGAGAGAATAGAGAGAGATTTTATTTCTAGAGAGAATGAGTTTTTAGAGGTAGAAATTGAATTTTTAGAGACAGAAAGAGAGATTGGATTTTTAGAGAGAGAAAGAGAGATTGGCCTTTTAAAAAAAATTGAGAGTTTTGGCTTCTAGAGAGAGTGGATTTAGGAGAGAGTGGATTTTTATACAGAAAGAGAGATTACGTTTTTAGAGAAACAACGGATTTTTAAAAAAAGCAAGAGATATTGTGTTTTTAGAGAGAGAATGGGTTTTAGAGGGAGATTGAGTTTCTATAGAGATAATGGGTTTGAGAACGGGAGAGATTGAGTTTTTAGAGAGAGAGAATGGTTTTTAGAGAGAAAGAGAGATTAGGTTTTTAGAGAGAGAGAATGGGTTTTTAGAAGAGAGACATTGGGTTTCTAGAAAAGAGAGACATTGGGTTAAGAAGGAGAGATTGACTTTTTAAAGAGAGAACGATTTTAGAAAGAAAGAGAGATTGGGGTTTTAGAGAGAGGGAGAATGGGTTCTAGAAAGAAGAAGAGAAATTGGGTTTCTAGAGAAAGCTTGTGTTTTTAGAGAGAGAAAGTGAGATTGAGTTTCTGGAATGAGATTAGGCTCTTAGAAAAAAAGAGACATTGAGTTTTTAAAGAGAAAATAAGTTTTGAGAGAAAACAAGAGAGATTGAGTTTTTAGAGAGAAAAATAGGTTTTTAAAAAAAGTTTCTAGAGAAAAAAATGTAACATCAAACAGAGCCCGCATTGCTCTAGGCATTTTCCCTTTAGTGCAAAGAGGAGAGAGATGATGGGATCGAATAATGCACGCTAATGCTCCGGCCCTCTCTAACCATTCTCTCTCCTCCTCTTTACTCTCTCTTTTTAACTATTCACGCTCTCTCTCGTGCCTTGCTCACTCTAAACCTTCTTTCTAACAATGTATCCCCTTTTCTCTCTATTTGTATATTAGAATATACGTACATGTGAGCATTTATTACATGTATTCAACTTTTGGACATTTAATACGGTTACCCTGTATAATGTGGTAGCTTTTTATCTAAGGATATTTTTGGTTTAGGTTATTATCCAAGATTAAAGCAAAAATTTAAAATAAAAAAAAGTAGAGAATGACATCATCTACAAAAATAAATATTTCTATTTTACAAAATTTTTTATTTCATCAATAATTAGCTACCTAAAATACTTCTAGGTAATAATTTTAAAAATTATTACACTTGGAAGAAGGACATCGAAGTATAAAAAATATTTAGTAGATTAATAAAAAGGTCGGTTTGTATAGAGCTAAGGCTCTAAACAATCAAAGTAGGGCTACCTTTCAAATTGTGTCAAGAAATGTGATTTCAATACTGAAAATAAAATATATTTTCATCTCTAATTATAAAATTTAAAGCTACAAAAATAGTGCACATTGAGCAGATCTATGAAAACTTAAAATCTTGAAAACTAAGGGTCCAAAAATACATTACTAGATGCACTATTTGCAAAACTTGAACTCCGTTTTTTTCTCATGTTCATGCATCTTAATGTCGAGATGATCAATTTGAGGATATTTGAGCATCAAAACAACCTCTTCTAGTAATTTTTCTTTTATGTACGCTCTAATTTGATTGTTAAGACCCTCGGTTCCATATAAATTTTTCCTTAATAAAATACCCAACGAGGGAGTAGCCTAATAAAAACTTTGTAAGCAAGGTTATTTCTAACAGTGTCTGCTAATTGGGGCCATTTAGGCGAGGCTTTCGAAACACTCATCATGCCTTGGTGAAAGTATAAAAATAGCAACCAAATGGTTAAATAGAAATACAAATTTCCATATTGGGAAACTAACATTTGAGGGATCAAAACATCTACAAAATCATCATCTGGGCGAAAGATTGAATGCTAGGGAGCTTTTCCTTTTTTAATATATCTATTTTACTCACGTATTTCTCAAAAGGGAAAAGTTTGTATAGAGTTGAGGTTCTAAACAATCAAATTTGAGCCTACCTCAAAATTTTTTTTAGAAGATGTTGTTTTGATGCTCAAATATCTTCAAATTGATCATCTGGACATCAAGATGCATGGACATGAGAAAAAAATGGATTTCAAGTTTTGGAAATACTGTATTTTGTAACTCATTTTTTGATCGTCAATTTTCAAGCTGTCATAGATCTATCGATCTACATTATTTTTGAAGCTTTGAACTTTATAAATAAATATGAAAATATATTTTAAACCTATCACAAAGATTTCCAATGTTGAAACCACATTTCATGACACTATTCGAAAGTAAGCTCTAATTTGATTGTTTAGAGCCTAGGCTCTATACAAATCGCAACCTTCTCAAAAAAAATATCTTCAAGAAAAGCCAAAATTGTCCATATCCGGAATTTTGAACAAGCGTGCGTATTTGAATAACTTGACCTACTTTGAATGAGCAAGGTTGCTCTCATTTGTTGGAGCTTCCTATGGTCTGGAACGGGCCATGCTCGGCTCTAAAATACATGGGTGCGGGCCAGGCCCTAGCCGTCCCTAATTCTAGAGTATTATAGCTGGCTGGCTCATAAAAGCTTTGGTCAGACCCGATTGGTCTACATATAGATCCGAAATATAATATAAAGAAAATATCTCCATATCCCTAATAATAAAAATATATTTAGAATTATATAAATGTTTTTCAAGCCCGGCCAAGACTGTTCAGACTCGATCTGAAATCATTTTGGTCCCAGCCTGGCCAGAGTCCCGCCCAAAACTAGACCTGACGAGTAAGCGGTCCTGACCTCTCAATAATACTTGGCCCTTTATCCCTTTCCAACGCACTTTCCTTTTGTTGATGTCCAGGAGATAGATTCTCTCATTTTGACAATTTTCAAATGTGACGACTATAATGCCTACTGCCCCTATCCATTCAAACTTCTCTATACATGGAACTGTACACCATAGACTATTATATCTTTGGCTGCTAACTCCAAAAGTGGAAAACGTGGTCATAACAAAAACATGCGCTATGACTTCTGTAATTGTAATGAAGCAAGCCCACCTAAGCAGACCGTTCTTTTTCTTCCTCTTCTTCCCACTTTCTGAACTTGAGTTATTGGTTTCCATTAATTAGCATAAAATTCTTGGGATCAGCTGGCATTACTGAAGATGGACGGCAAAAATAAGAAAATGGTGTGGTTTCATGTTCTTTTACTGATCATAACCATCTCTTTACAACTGAAACTATGCTCATCAAAAGACACAATCTCTCCAGGCGAAATCCTGACAAAGAACCAGACCATCGTTTCGGAACGTGGTGCATTCGAGCTCGGTTATTTCACCCCAGGAGCTTCAAACAATTGGTATTTTGGCATATGGTACAAGAAAATCCCCAAAAAAACATATGTATGGGTAGCAAACAGAGAGAACCCATTACGATCGGGAAGGACGGGGAGTTTAAGAATGGGTGTAGATGGTAACCTGGTTCTCTTGGATGAACTAGGAAGGTCTCTGTGGTCTACTAACACAGCTGGGGCGATGAACACTTCAGTTGCTGTATTGTTAGACTCTGGAAATTTGGTCCTTCGACAAAATGGGAGCAATAATGGCTCAGAAAATGTACTATGGCAGAGCTTCGATCACCCAACTGATACAATGCTTCCAGGGGCTAAGGTGGGACTTAACCGAAAAACCAGCTTAAATCAATTGCTCACTCCATGGAAGAATGCGGAGAATCCAGCACCTGGGACTTTTGCTTTCGGGCTTGATCCCAATGGATCAGAGCAATTCTTTGTTTGGCAAAATGGGGTTCCTTATTGGAGAAGTGGGCCATGGAATGGAGAAGGTTTTAGTGGAGCTCCTGAAGTGAAGGAGAATAATATGTACAAATTCAGCTTTGTAGATAATGATGATGAAGTTTATTTCACTTATGATCTTTCTGATGAGTCTATTGTTGCACGGTTTGTGATTGATACTACAGGACTGCTTAAGCATTATAGGTGGATAGAGACAAAGCAAGATTGGAATCTTTCATTTTCTTTGCCTAAAAACAAATGTGAAGTGTACTGTATATGCGGGGTTTATGGGACATGCAGCGAAGATGGGTCTCCTATATGTAGTTGTTTACAAGGTTTTGAGCCTAAGTTACCTGAACAATGGGAATTGGGGGACTGGTCAGGTGGTTGCATGAGAAAAACAGAGCTGACCTGCGGGGAAAATGAGGAGGGAGAAAAAGATGGATTTTTGAGAATGAAAGGCATGAAGTTGCCTGATGTTTTCTTTTCGCAACCTTTGCTTAGTAATCAGAGTACAGAGAATTGTGAAGCAGCGTGCCTTAATAATTGCTTATGCTCGGCCTATGCATTTTCAGACAGGAAGGGGTGTTGGATTTGGGTTGGGGAGTTGTTGGATCTCAGAAATGTTTTCGATGATGGGCAGGACCTTTTCATTCGTCTCGCTGCATCTGAATTCCATGCCATTGGCAACAGTAAGCTCTCTTTCTCTCCCCCCCTCTCTCTCTCCATTTTTGTGGTACCCCAATATCGGTTTTTATTTTGTCTCCTGAACTTGAACATCTATCTGGTCCTAGATAGGTTTAACCTTTGTTGGGTGCCCAATTTATCTTCTCATTGTTTCAGATTCCCCCTTTGTAGGACTCGAGTGATGTTCATATATCTTTTACTCCCCTAGTCTCTTTAATGCATACAATTGCTTTTCATATACTTCATTATGATTATGAGTGGGCTCGTGCCCATGGATAAAGACTCTCTAGTTTTTCATTTGAAAATTTTGAAGTATATGAAGAGATCTTACTTTTCCTATGCAGGGACCAAGGGTAGATTATCACATACTCTTTTGTCTATCATCGTGGTCATGGCTGCACTTATTTTATTGACCTTCGCATGTTTCGCATGGATGTGGAGGCGAGCGCAAAAATGTAAGTAGATGGTTTTCAAAAGTGTTCGATAGTGCCTATGATATTATTTGTTATGATTCTCATTCGTTTACATCCTTTGATAGCGGTTAAGATGGAACCAATTGAGGAGTTCTTGGCACTGGATTTGGGTCATTCTGGATCAACTGCTACCTTACAGAATGCAAATGAACATGGGGTAGATGGAAAAGAAGGAGCATGTCTTGAATTGCCTTCATTCAATTTGGGCAGTCTTCTGATTGCCACAAAAAACTTCTGTGAAACCTCTAAACTTGGGGAGGGAGGCTTTGGTCCTGTGTATAAGGTAACCATAACTTAATGTGGACAATTTAATAGTTTCTGGTTATAAAGATATCTGACTAAATATATGGGTTCAGGGTAGATTGCCTGATGGGCAAGAAATTGCTGTGAAAAGGCTAGCAAGAAGTTCTGGACAAGGTTTGGAGGAGTTCAAAAATGAAGTAATTCTGATTGCAAAACTTCAACACCGCAATCTTGTTAGGCTTCTGGGTTGCTGCATTCAGGGTGATGAAAAGATACTTGTTTACGAGTACATGCCCAACAAAAGCCTTGATTCCTTCCTCTTTGGTATGAAACTGTGGTTGTTCTTCCCTTGCTGTCAACATATGCCTTGCATAAACTTCAATAGTTACAATTTTTACTTTTTTCTGACCAGATCCAACCAAGCGTACACAGTTAGATTGGGGGAAACGCTTTGATATCATCATAGGAGTAGCAAGGGGACTGCTTTATCTTCATCAAGATTCACGATTGAGGATTATTCATCGGGATTTGAAAGCTAGCAACATCCTATTAGATGGGGAGATGAATGCCAAGATCTCCGACTTCGGAATGGCAAGAATTTTCAGCATAAATCAAGCCCAGGCAAACACAAACAGGGTGGTAGGGACATAGTAAGTCTGATCCCTGCCATAAACATGAGTTTCCTTTCTATATATATATATATATATATATATATATATATATATCTTGCATAAATCGTCAGCTTTCTGTTTTACTTATAATAGTAATGGCTTATACATGGATCTTGTTTTATTAAGGACATTAATTGAGCTCATTGGCGAAATGTACTTAGTTTTTTAATTTATGTGCTCTATAATACAAAGAAGCAACATATTTTAATTGACACGAAGAAATAAGATAACAGTCTTTTTAAATGTTTCACCCCATGCACTCCTTATATTCCCCTTCATTTTGTAGTATGTGGTTTTCCTTTTTTATCCATGCATTCTATATGTATGACCAGTTAGAGAGAAGAAAAATAGTGATTTTAGGAAAGTTGAGAGCAGCTAAAATGCTTTCTCCAAGTACAAAAGATTGATTCATACAATTAAATTATTACTGGGCAACTTAGCAATATGAATCTTTAACTGCACTAATTCTGTTGACAAATGCATGCAGTGGGTACATGGCTCCAGAGTATGCCATGCATGGCTTATTCTCCGTGAAGTCTGATGTCTACAGCTTTGGGGTTTTGTTGCTGGAGATTGTGAGCGGTAGAAAGAACAATGTATTTTATGATGCTGAGCACACTCTTAATCTTCTAGGATATGTAAGTTTGGCCTTTTACCCTTTATGAAATATCTAGCAATTTCAATAGTCCAAGTTGAAACCAGATGAAATTGATTTACTTTCTAAATGTTTTGTAGACATGGCAATTGTGGCAAGAAGGTAAGGTCTTGGAGCTCATGGATCCTTCTTTAAGTGAATCATGTCAAAGAAGTGAAGTATTGAGATGCATGCATGTGGCGCTACTATGCGTTCAAGAAGATGCAACAGCTAGACCCAACATGTGTTCTGTTAGTTTCATGTTGGTTAATGAGACGGCAACTCTACCAGCACCAACGCAACCTGCATTCCCTTACGGAATGAGTACAACAAAGAGTGAGAATTTGGGATCTGAATCTTTTTCACTGAATAATGTTACAATGACCATTTTTATGGCAAGGTGAATATGAAGTTCTACACATTCTTTTGAGAGGAGCATGTCCCCAGCAGGATATAGATCAGAGTGAACAAAATGTAGTTATCTTGTTCTTGTACATGTTGATTGGTTTTATTTTTTCAGCATTCAAACGTACTAAATATGTATTGCAGGGATGAACATCACAAGGCATCCTGGGATATGTTAAAATGTGATTGTTACCTAATTCACAGGGTTCAAACATATGTTTTCTGAAAGAATGAAGATAAGACCCCAATCAATTTACAAATGAAATAACTGAAACTGAGAATGATAAGGTAGGAAATTGTACCCTATGAAAGTTGACGAGGATAAGGTCAAAAGAATTAAACTAATTTTTCAAAGTATGACAAATTTAAAAATCTAAAATTCCATTCTGAATCACTGTATCATGTATGAATGTGCAAAACCATACCTGAAGATGATGATTCCATAGCCAACAAAAAATTTGCCCACCTAGTTTCTTGCCATTGGAGAATTAAGGGATGTCAGTTAATTTAAAACTTGGGTGACACAGTGCCACTTGGATGAATGACACTGCTTCTTTGGATCCTTCTGCTTTAATATGATTTACCTATTAATTTCTTATGCTAATGGAAAATCATTTATATTCTCTTTGAAATAAAGGTTCGGGTTTCCTACTCTTAAGCCTCGAGTGAAAATTGCAAATCTACTCTCTTGGTTCTAACCTTAATTGTTTGCTCTGAAAACAAAATTTCTTTGGCATTTAACGGATTGTCAATGACTTTAAGGTTACATTATGGAGTTGTTTGTTTACAACATACTAAATATCCTTTTGGGACACCTCCATGTTTCATGAGCTAAAAAACCTAAACCTGTTAGTCCTGAAGGTTGGAATCTTAATGTTGGTGTCTGGCATGCGAGAGCCCCATCAGTAGTGAATTTTTTGGGAAAAATTTAACAAAACTAGGAAAGCAATATTTCTATGAAGAACAAACAAGTCTTAGAAAGAAGTGATTGAAACTGCACGATTTACATCGAGAATCCATCCGGCTGATCCGGATCTTATGATCCGAATTGGAACCAGCTGATCCAATACCTTTTTTTTTAATCTTAAAAAACTAGATTTTTTTTTGAATTTTTTTTAAAGCTGAATTTGACGGATTTGGCATATTCCTTGATCTTATCAAATGAGCGATCGCCACCGGTTATTTTTTAAAACCTTGTTAGAAATCAATGAACCCACTGTCTAAAATTTGACCGCAAGGCTTCAAATCCCAATGGCAGCTTACCTTTTCTATTAAAAAAACGTCTTGTTCACTATTTTTGACTTTTCATGCGCAGACATTTCCAAATAATTTACACCACGACTGAACCTTAAATTAGTCAAAGTAAGAAGCGCACCAAAGTTAATTTTTATCCCTAGATAGATAAGAAAGTTAAAAGGTTGGAAAATAGTATAGATCAAAGTATATTTATATATACTTGAAAATCTTGAAAATTAATAGTCCAGTTAATGTGCTTTATACTGTACTTAAGACTTCAAATATCTTTTTTTAGTATCCCTACTTCTAAAGGACAAAATTATCAATTAGAAGATTTTCAATATCAAAACAACATTTTCCAGTGAATTTTCACTTTTGCAATACACTCGTATATTACTTTCAAAATATTTATTGATTGAAACATAGAGAATCTTTTAAAGTTCTCCAGCATTTCTAATTATCTAATTTAAAATAAAATTTTAACACCGAACTAATAAAGTCAACTTGATGATTAGATTATAAATGCTTCAATTTTGAATCCCCTCTAACGGATATGGCTTAAAATCTCTACACTATCTACGGTGTATATGAATATTCAACGTCGACATTTAGAATGCTTCGTAGCCAAGAAAGACATTCAGAAAGCCAATTCTATATTTAAATAAATTTTATTTTGCTTAAAACTAGTTTTCTCCTATAAATGGAAATTCTTAAATTGATATTCTCCTTTAATCACCATCATCCTAAAACTAATAAGTGAGGCTTGTATGAAGTGAAGTGCACCTCAAAACTATACGGAAAGATGCAGTTTTAGTGCCGAAAAGCTTTACGATGGGATAAAAATGATGTAGAATGAATATATCTATAAATAATACTAAAAGATGCAGTTTCACCTCAAAGCTATTTTCATCTTTATTATGAAGTTTAAAGATCTGAAAATGATGTAGATCGAGTGTATATAAACAATTAAAATTTTTTGAGGGGTCAGCACACAGACCGCTCAAGGCCTAAGTTCTGTTGTAGGACTGTAGTTTCAAGCTCAACATGCAAATATGAGATACGCGTATTTGATGGGTGTTTTATTACAAATATTGCCTTTTTAGGAATATATAAAAGGAAAAAATATAATGTTCTATATAAATATATGGAGCACTACATGGTTTGGGAAGCACATTGCTTACAAAAAATATGTTAAGAGCTTAGGGTAGGAGGTTCTGACATATTTATGGCAAAAGAAATTTTGTCATGTTAAAGATCTAAGATCACAAATAATTAAGAAAAAACTAAGGGAAAATTATGTATATATCATTTATATTTATGTTAAAGATTTAAGATCACAAATAATTGAGATAAAACTAAGATATTTATGTTAAAGATTTAAGATCACAAATTGAGATAAAGCTAAGGGAAAATTATGTACATATCATTTATATTTATCTGTATTATAAAAATACCTTTTAATTTCTATTATTACAGATATATCCATTTTTTGAATTTCATAACAGTTTTTTGTTTTGTTTTTTTTTTTTTGTTTTTTTCTTTTTAAAAAGACAAATCTGCTCATTTTCAGTTTTTGAAAACTAAAATCTTTAATAGTGATAACTTTTCTAGAGATCTATGTCAACTTTAATATTGATCCTTTAGGGTCCTACACACATGGGTGGGAGAGGGTCCTATAGGATCATTACTCATAATTAAAATAAACAATATCATATTTTTTAGAAAATGACTAATAATATTTAGAAGCACTATAAATATTCGGATTTTCAAAAACAAAAAATTCTTCATTTTCGGTTTTTGAAAAACCAAAAATTGTAAAAATTTCAGTTTTTAAAAAACCAAAAATTGTAAAAATTTTGATATTTAAAAAACCAAAAATTTTAAAGATTTCGGTTTGTGGAAAACTGAAATGGGTATTTTTGGACGTTTTTTAGAAAAAATGTTATGAGACATCTGTAATAACGAAAACTAGAAAATATTTTTGTAATAGCAATAAATATAACATATATTTGTGTAGTTTTTCCTAAAAACTAATTTGGTTGGCGTACGCGTGGCATCCAATATCAGATTAAGCTAAAGTCAGGTTGGACATAATTATGGATCCTAAAGGTTTTGTCAATATTTATAAAGTAAAAGCGTATGTTAAACAATTGACAAAAACATTACATAACATTCAATATTTTGCATGAGCTTTGTATATTACGTTGTAGTTGGGCCTTCCAAGGCCTTGATTCCAGCATTCCATGGTGGTTTCTAGCAACATTGGGAGTGATCCGAACCCTTGTCCTGCCAAATCTTGGCATATTGGGATTTGGAGGGACATGAAATCCCAGAGGTCTTTCTGAGGGGTCTTAAACTGAGAAGTAGGAAGGTTAACTCTAGTCAGGGTCGCTCGGCATATACTTCATGATTGTATGAGCCAAGAATCCTTATTTTCTAGATATTTGTGGGAATTACTGTAAGTTCAAGTATTCCTGTGACCTCAGTGTGTGTCTGCTACGTTTTGAGACGACATAAGCTATTTCCCCTAACCATGAACCTACTCATAGCAAGTGCATACATAGTCTGACATGGGAAGCCGCTCTCTCAAAGTCAGATCCCCTTTGAGAAAGTTATATGCATGTGATAAGAGAGAGGACCCACATCTAAAAGAGTCCATGTTATCAGGGGTGTGCTTGCAATCCATTAAACTCGAGACCCAACCATATATCTGAATTGGTTTTGATAAACTAAGCATGGGCCTATAGGAGACTTTTTGGGACATGGGCCTTGTTTGTTCAATCTGAAAATAGGGTTCTGGATCTAGCCAAGTCGAGTGCCCTAGTCATCATCTTCAATTCATATAGGATCCTTTACACTCTCATATATATATTTTTGGTGATATCAAAATTGATTTATAATGATGGAATAGATTCAAAAATGATTTTTGTAATTTACAATTTTCTAAATTTTTCTGAAAATCTTTCACGAGCAAAGTATTTTTCAAATTGTTCAGGACAAATAACAATTAAAAACACCCCCACTTTTGGATCATGTGGAGCCCAAGTGGCCAATGGGCCTCATGTGCTGCCATTTCATACCCTATGGGTCGCGTGGACAACTTGGTATTGGATGTCCCTTGTGCTTGTGTTTGTTTGATTGAGATATCTTGGTTTACCTTGGTATATTTTATGCATTTGAGTGCAAAATGGCACTCACGTGGGTTGCGCAATAGGATTGTATTTTCTTTATTAAGCAAATGTCCCTTGTCCAATTAGAAACTTGGAATGGGAGGTCTTGGTTGGATGAAAGGATGTGCAATTGACACTTACATGGGGGCTGGCCAAATGGTATATGCTCTTTCTATAGAACCACTTTATGCAAGCCCAAATCAAAGGAGAGATGTTCGTACGCATTTTAGACGCCCCCCATATGGGTAATAGAGGGGAAGGTTGCAACCGTCAAACCCCACGTTTCTGTTCCATCCTCGAACCGCCATGAAGCGCGTAATAACGCCTGTATCTTGAAGGGCATCCATAGGACCTCATCTTGGCCCGAAGAAGAGCACAAAGATGGGCTCTATTACCCTAAAAATACTCCCCAAATTTCAGCACGATTGGGAGTGATAATAAGGAGAAACGAGCAATATGAGTATCGTACACCATAGGTGTATAAGTGGACAAGAGAAAGAATATAATTAAGCTCTTAAAATTTTACCTTTGATGGCCTCAGAAAGGTCACAGATGAACTCAAAACGCTAGAAAATCCTTAATTCTCGTGTTTCACGCCAAACAGATCTTTTTAGGCCCTACTTTGCGAAAAAGGGATGTTTTTATACTATTGAGGATTTTAAAGCTTATATCAGTTACCAAAAATAGTAAATCCTACAATACTTCCTCAAATTGGGTAAAATTTGCGTCCTTGGATATCACAATATGGAAATCGAATTGAGCAAAAATACATCATGCTCTTCAATG